CTTCGAGGACGTGGTGGTGCAGGTTTTCCATCTGGCCTAAAGTGGTCCTTCATGCCAAAGGTATCTGATGGCCGCCCTTATTTGTTGTCAATGCTGATGAAAGTGAACCTGGAACCTGTAAAGACAGGGAAATTATGCGGCATGATCCACACAAATTGTTGGAGGGTTGCTTGATTGCTGGTGTAGGGATGAGGGCTACAGCCGCTTACATTTACATAAGGGGTGAATATGTAAATGAACGTAAAAACCTTGAGAAAGCCAGAAAAGAAGTATGCGGCTGGACTATTGGGCAAGAATGCATGTGGATTGGTTATGATTTTGATGTTCATATCCACTTTGGTGCTGGTGCTTACATTTGTGTGAAGAGGACAGCTCTTTTGGAAAGTCTTGAAGGTAAACAAGGGAAACCAAGATTGAAGCCTCTTTCCCTGCTAATGCAGGTTTATATGGTTGCCCTACCACTGTCACAAATGTGGAAACTGTGGCTGTTTCTCCTACCATTTTAAGGCGTGGGCCAGAGTGGTTTGCCAGTTTTGGCAGGAAGAACAATGCTGGTACAAAAGTTATTTGTGTCTCCGGTCATGTGAACAAACCTTGCACAGTTGAAGAGGAGATGAGTATTCCCCTGAAAGAGTTGATTGAGAGGCACTGTGGTGGTATTCGAGGTGGGATGGGGAATTTACTTGCAGTGATACCTGGGGGTTCATCAGTTCCCCTGCTTCCCAAACACATATGTGATGATGTGCTGATGGATTATGATGCTCTCAAGGCTGTTCAGTCAGGATTGGGAACTGCCGCTGTTATCGTTATGGATAAATCGACGATGTTGTGGATGCAATTGCAAGGCTCTCTTACTTTTACAAGCATGAAAGCTGTGGGCAGTGCACACCATGCAGGGAGGGGACAGGATGGCTTTGGATGATCATGGAAAGGTGAAGGTTGGAGATGCAATGTTGGAAGAGATTGATATGCTTCAGGAGGTGACCAAGCAGATTGAGGGGCACACAATCTGTGCATTGGGTGATGCTGCTGCTTGGCCTGTTCAAGGTCTCATCCGACATTTTAGGCCTGAGCTTGAGAGAAGGATTAGGGAGCGTGCAGAGAGGGAGTTGCTGGCAGCCATGCTTAAGTTTATTTATCTACTCAGGTTTCTTCTGGATTTTTCACTGCATGTGTAAGTGGGCATTTCCCTTAATAATAACTTGTGTGATTTGAATAATTAATTATTATAAAACTCCTATTATTTGGTTTATCTCTTTTCTTTTCTGTGATGCAAAATCTTGTTTGTGCCACTTATCTGTTATCTTAATATGGTAAATAAAGTCTATTATTCTTAATATAAAATTTTATTTCTTATTTAGGAAAAAAAAAATTGTGCTGCTTCTCTTTGGCTTTAAATTGCACATATACAGAAAGGAGAAGTTTGTAAAAGTTTCGGACATCATGTTATTTTTCAGTAAATTAGCAGTAATTTCAGCAATGCGGCACTTATCTGTTAGACATCTGGAAGTGTGCTGTGTACTGTGGGGCCTATGGGGTGATTGAATCTGGTTGATATTCTGAAAAGAAGCGCAGGGAAATCTTATTGTCCCTGTGGTTAAAAATATATTTCCAATAGGTCCTTCTTCGCTTGGGATGCTTTGATAATTTTTTATATTTGACTCACTTCCACTTTGATAAAGAGGATAATTTACACTTAGTGTGGTAACGAGATTTGTTATGTTGTGTAGGGAATTTCTTTTACGAAGGATTAATGGAATAAAAGTGGAGCAATTAGGCCAGATATTGGGAGGATAGGTGGTTCAGGTATCTGGTGAACCTGCTAGTGATCTGTTTGTTTTTAAGCTGTATCAAACTATGACTGCATTTACTGTCCTGGAGAAATGATGAATGTTCCCCTACCTGGGCACGGATTCTTAAAAAGTTGTTTGATGTGTTTCTTGAACATGTCTTTTTGGTAAAATTAGAGGCATGTTGTTAATAACATCTGTATTTTTCCCATGTGATAAAGCTAATCATATGTTTTCGCTATCAATAAGAGAACTCTGAGCAACTTTGAGTGCAGGGGTATAAAATCAAGTTTGATACTTGTTTGGTTTGGTTGACCCAAGATTTTATAACTGATGGAAGATTGAGGTTGGCCTTGACTTATATCCCCAAATTCGAAACCTGAATCCCTTCAAATCCTGTAATTTTTGGGAAAACGAGGCGTCAGAACTTGGAGACTTGCAAGAGCAAACCAAACCAAAGAATGAAACTTAATGTTTGAAGCGATTGAGAGAATTATTTTGTAGTTGATTACTGATTTCGCTGGCATGATATGTTAACAATGGTCCAACTATATGTTTTAATAATTTCATCAATGAAATTGATGTCCCCGTTTTGCATCTCCCTTAAGCACATGGTGTCATAATATCATTGGAGTAAAAGTTGATTCCCTCTTTCAATTCACCTTGCAAAAACAAGAAAAAACTGTCCAAGTCATGATACATAAAGCCTTTTGAATATATATTTATTTATTTATAATTTGATAAAGACTATACCATGACATGAAAAACAATGCAATTAATTAGATTCACACTGACCACCTTTTCTTTTGAGTGAAAAATGAGATTTGCATTTCTTCAACACCAAACACTAGGATCAAGATATGACGTTTAACCTTCCTATTTGACTTGATTCTTCATCTTTCACTATATATTTCCCATATTGGTGTTGCTTCGTATTCTAATAAAAGTTTAATCCGACTTTTTCCCGCCCATGGTTTGCCTTAAGGATACTTTTCACCCTAAAAAGTTTTAAAATATCACTCTCTCACCCAAAGTTTATATTTCAACCAATCGCCAATTGATTTCGACATCTTTGCGATCATAAGTCATCATCATTTATTATCTTCTCCGATCATCACTCACCAAATCCCCGCAAACCTTGCTCTCATTAATCCCACCAATCGTCGACAATCGAGCAATTTGTGAAACATACAGCTGTCTTCTCCAAGTCAAATTTCAATCCATTTCGATCACTAAAATCTAATTTGCCACCGCCAAAAGACTCTCTGGCATCCCCTCTTCAAAAACCTCAATAGTCTAGACCAATTTTAATCTTCGTTGGCCATCGAATCAAAAAGCATATTCTGGGTAGTAAACAAAATATAAATTTTGGATTTGAATGTCTTTATGGTAAACCTTGGGTGGGAAAAAGTCGTTTACTCTAGCATGAATTATAATTTATAAATAAACATTCTAATTGACCTCAAGTACTGCCAATTAAAGTTGTCAAATTTTTTTCCCCAATTTATTGTTACTTATAAACGCAAGCCTTTTCTAATTCTAGGAAGGGAGAGAGATATTTTCCCACCGAAGGTTTGGCAAAATGACATTTTCCCAAGTTTAAAAATGACACTTTTCCAAGTTTCATCAGGTTTTGTTAGTGTTTTTATTTAATATTTGTTTGAAAAGTCGAAAATACTCTTAAATAGTTTATTATAAATTAAAATTTCGTTAAGTCAAAGTCTTTATTTGATTATTTATTAATTCAAGTGTAAAAATATATTTTTTCTTTGTTTATTTAATTAATTAAGAATATTGATTTTCTAAGTTAATTAGTAAAAATGAAAAAACATTATAAATTTAGTAGATTATTGAATAATAGTGATGAGATATTGATGACATTATAAATAAATAAATATTAATGTCATTTAACTTTAAACAATTTCGTAGCATTACTCCTAACTGTTTAGATAGGGTTAACTATTTTTTCTTTTTTGACTTTTTAATATTTAAATTTTTGGCTAGTTAAAAAATAATAAAAATTTATAAAGTTAAATATTTAAGAGTATTTTTGTTTTTTCAGTAAAGTATTAATAAAAAATATAACAAAACCTAATAAATGGTGAAAAAGTGTCATTTGGAAACTTGAAGGGTGGGAAAGTGTCGTTTCGCCAAACCTTGGGTGGGAAAATGTCGCTCTCCCTTCTAGGGAAAGAAGTTTCCTTTTTCTTTTCAATATTCTTAAAATTAAAGATTTAAATCTAACCAATAACAATAAATGAACCAATTTCGCAGCAGTTTACAAAACAATAGAAACGAACTCTGTTTAAGAACAGCTAATTAAGGCGCCCAAAACTCTGGTTTCCTATTTTCGCGACCTTTCTGTCTTATCCTACACAGTGTACTCCCATGTCCTCACTTTTCAATCTCCTTTTTATTTTTTATTTATTTCTTTTAATCACAATTTAAATGTACCCTTCACTTCAAAAGGACACGCATAATTATTGACTTTGACAATCAAACACATGCATTCGTGAGACAGTAACTTTGGTTCCGTCTCTCCCTGAGACTCTTTCAATCTGTAACAGTGTAAGTAAAGTTCGTTTATTTTCTTTAAAGATTTGAGCTTCATTTGTGTTTTCAAAGTGGTTGCTCTGCAACGTATTTGGGATCTGATGCTGTCATTTTTTATTTTATATTAATGTTTTGATCACCATCTAGTTGCTTGCTTGCAACTTAGCTTTTTTAAATCCAGTGAATTTTTTTTTCTCTCTCTTGGGTTCAAATTTCCTCATTTGTAATTTGTTAAAGAGATTTGAACTGGGTTAGATTTGTATTTTTAATCTCCTTCGTATACTGGTAGGCAGTTTTTTACTGCAATTTTTGATTTATTTTGACATTTTCTACTCATTTGTGATGTCCACTTTAGGTTGATATAATAATTTTCGGTGTTGGATTCTGCTTACTTTATTTTTTTGTATAAACAAATAGTATGCATGAACTGATTGGGTCATTCCAAAAATATTGTTTTTCTTTTTGTTGGTGAATACTCAGCCACGTTCTGTTTTCGTTTATTTATTTTTTCCTCTTTATTTTATAATTTGAACTCGCCATAGCTTTGTTTATTGTCTATGAACTTGATCGAGGCTCTGAATTCAAGTTCAGTTTTGCATTTGAGTTAATGAATACTTAATTTCTTACCCATTTTGATTTCTTTTTTCTGCATCCCTTTTAGTGCCTAAGGCTTGGTGAATTGAAGGCATTGTGATTGTTCATACTTGCTCTGAGCAAAATCATTATTTCTTGCAACAATGGTTCTTGGACTGAGAACAAAGAACCGAAAGCGCATTTCTGTGCAAGTTGATTATCTCTTTCATGTACAAGAGATTAGACCTTGGCCCCCATCACAGTCTTTAAGATCTGTTCAATCTGTTTTGCTTCAATGGGAAAATGATGATCAGAGTTCTGGGTCTTTGATATCTGGGGTTGGGGATGGGAAAGTTGAGTTTAGTGAGTCTTTCAGGCTTCAAGTTACTTTATGCCAGGAAGCATCAAAGAAAGGAACTGCCCGCGATAGTTTTCAGAAGAACTGCTTAGAATTTTACTTGTATGACAATGGAAAGGACAAAAGTCAACTCTTGGGATCAGCTCTTATAAACCTAGCTGATTATGGAATTATAAAGGAAGCCATTGCCGTTAGCACTCCGATTAGCTTCAAGAAGAGTTTTAGGAACACAGCACAACCTGTTCTTTATCTTATTATGGAGCCATTCTACAAAGATAGCTCCTCCTCGTCACCAAAGAGCAGCTTGGTCAAAGAAGTGTCAGTTTTGGGCAAGAATGGAAGTGGATCTTTTTCTGACTTGATGAATGAAGGAAATGATGAGGGATGTGAGATCGCTTCTTTTACTGATGATGACGATGTTTCATCACATTCATCATTGACTGTTCCATCTTCTACTTTTGGGACTACTAGTGGCTCAACTGCTCAAAATTATAAGGTAATACTTTTCTGATCCTCCTACCAATGCATTGCTTTGCAATTTGACGTTGAATTTTTGGACAATGTGACCTGAATGCTTATCATCATGCGGCTAGTGGTATAGCACTGTATTGGCTTTCAAATTCTAGCTGTGGGTTTGGCTTGCTGAATTTCAGGCCTTTTAGCCAAAGTGAGGTATTAAATTGTGGTATTGATTGTTATTAAGTCTAGCATTTTACTTTATTTTGGTTCAAGCTGAATCTTTTATCAGGATTTTATTTCAGATGTGTAAACGTGATGTTTCCAGTATTTGATATTTCTACCTTAGCCATACATGTAAACATTTTGGTTTTTATCTGAGACTAGACATCATTCTATCATTTGCATGTATGAATTCATACTATGCATGAGTTTAACTGTAATTGTGTTAGGTCTTATGGGTATTTTCATTCACATTAGGAACTCTGGTTGTGTAGCTCTAAATTATAATTATCATGATTACATTGTAGAATGGATCAGAATTTGCTAAGGACCGCCTGGGAAGGGTTAATGGAGAGCCTGCTTTATCCTCAAGTGTTGCATTTGCAAAGCAAGAGGTGAATCCAGTGGTTGAAGCCCTTAAAAATATAGATGGGAGCACAGACTCTTCATCATCAGCAAACTTATTCTCTGATTCAGGAAATGCTGTAAATGATCCTGCAGCAAAAGTTGCATCCTCCAATGTGTCTATTCAGGCACATGTCAACGTGGACCAAATAAGGGTAGAGAACTCTTCAACTGATCTAGAGGGTGGTAGAAAATCTCGAAGACATGAAAAAAATAGCCTGGAGGCTGCTACAACTGATTTATATGTTGATCTATTGAAGGAAAAAGAGAAGAGGCACCAAGAAGATGGACGGGGCAATCAGACCTTAGATGTAAAGAAAAATTCTTTAGAGGACAGACTAGTTAGTAAATTACCACAAGATGCTGCAAAAAAGGATGTCAAATTAAGGAGTAACAGTATTGCCAACAGCAGGTTCTCACTTGAAGCACAGAGTGGGACTGTTATTAGCAATAAACTAAAGAATATTAAGTCTGTTCAGTTACGTTATGATTCAGCTGAGGGTTATGGGCTGATCAACAATAGTCAGTACAAAGGGAAGGAAAAGGAAATTAATAATGCAAAAGATAAATATAATTACCGAAAAAGTAATGCACAGAGTACAATGGGAGAAACAACAAATGGATTTTCCAACAGCAAAGTTGAACTTGAATCTAAAATCAAAATGCTTGAGGAAGAATTGAGGGAAGCTGCTGCTCTTGAGATTGGTCTGTATTCAGTCATTGCTGAGCATGGGGGTTCTATAAATAAGGTTCACGCTCCAGCACGACGCCTTTCTAGATTCTATCTTCATGCTTGCAAAGCAAGGTCCCAAACTAAGAGGGCAAGTGCAGCTAGAGCTGCTTTTTCAGGATTAGTTTTGGTTTCAAAAGCATGTGGGAATGATGTTCCAAGGTATGCATTAAACTTTCAGAAACTTAATCTCAAGCAAGTTGACAAGTTGGATTGTGGAAATTACAGCTTTCAAAAAAATTTCTCTAGAACAGTGTCAGGTTGCATACTGTAGAAAATAGAAATCCAGGTAATTTGCAACTGAAAGGGCTGTCAGATTGTGATATAAATTCCCTTTGGTTGTCAATATTCTTGGAAATAAATTAAACTTTTAAGATGATCTGCAGTATATGTGTTCATATTCATGTTCCTGTATGTAAAATCAATTATATATATTCCTCTTCTATAATTCTCCCATGATTCATTCCAATGTTCCTTTGATTTGGCTTACAGGTTGACTTTTTGGTTGTCAAATTCAGTTGTGCTTAGAGCAATTATCAGCAAGTCAATCGAAAAGTTGCAACTTTCTGATGGACTGTGCACTAAGAATAATGGTGATTGCGCTCCTACCAAAGAAGAACGCAATCCTTCAATTGAAGGTTCTGATGATTGGGGGGACCCTCAAACATTTGTAGTTGCATTGGAGAAGTTTGAAGCTTGGATATTTTCCCGAATCATTGAGTCGGTTTGGTGGCAGGTCAAGTCTTTCTTTTTTTCTCATTTACACTTTCTGTTGTGGCTGTTTATTTCTCCCAGTTTTGGTTTAAATCATAGTCATCACCTGTCATGCTTAATATAGTTTCATGTTTCAAACTCTCCAGACTTTCACTCCACATATGCAGTCTGCAGCTGCAAAGGGCTCAGGCTCAAGGAAAACCTCTGGGAAGAGGTCTGGATTGGGAGATCAAGAGCAAGGAATTTTTTCTGTTGAGCTCTGGAAGAAGGCTTTCAAAGATGCATGTGAACGGCTTTGTCCTATTCGAGCAGGAGGGCATGACTGTGGCTGCTTGCCGGTGCTGGCTAAGTTGGTATGTCTATCTCTAGTAATTTTCTTCCTTGACTCGCATTACGAATTTGAGTTCTTTGCATGATTAATTATATGTTATATCTTAATGTGCAGTACCACTAATATTTGTATAAAACATGTGGGTTTGTTTTCCTGAGAAAGTGATAGGCAGAAGCCCATCCTTACAAGTTCTTTGTGCTTTAGTTTCTATCTTCAATGGTTATGCCTATATATGAGTCCCTGTAAGGTAATCTTTTTGTCTGTTATATCATTGAATTTGATACCAATATATGGTATAATTGCACTGTTGATGATTTGGTGCTCATCGTCAATGATAGAAATGCGTTCTGTGGCCACATATATCCACAGAATGTCAAACTTCACCTGACAACAATCCAGATATTTTATTAATAAGACTGATTTTACTTACATGTTAGCAGTGGAGTCATCCAAAAAAAAAAAAAAAAAAAAGGAGAGAAAGAAACTTCTTTCTTACAGTTACTTGTGGAGTACTATTATCTGATCGAAGCTCTTGGTGAAGTTATCTGATTGGCATACTTAATTTTACTGTCATGTGCAATAATGTTTCTTTATAAAGCCTGCTGGGACTATGTTGATATAATAATGTTTCTTTATAAAGCCTGCTGGGACTATGTTGATATATAATATTTCCCTTTCTTTCCTTCTTAAAACATGCTTTTTCTTGTATATCCAGTGGTTTGTCTTATTCTCATTTTTCATTTTTAACTTACATGCTCCCCACCCCACCCTTCCCCATGCACAAAGATAAATTGATCCCCCTCTAAGGTTGGTATGTGTGGATATTGATTCTTGGACCTCTTTCATCACTTACCTCGGGGATAACTGGTTTCTATGATTGTGAAAAATATTTGTATATTTCCCAATATAATGTGCAAGCACAGTTAGATATTGTTCCATGGGCTATTTCACCTGCTTGTATCCTGTATTTTACTTCCAGTCCTCAAAACATGCTCTCTGGTGTATTTGCTGGTTGATGTGTGTATAATCACAATATAATATGGTAGCACAGTTGGATCTTTTGCAGAATTGTTTAACTTACTGTCTTAATGGCTTCCTCTCTTTATCTTTCCATTGCAATTTTCTAATAGATTCTATTGTTGCAAAGAATTTAATAGAAATGTCGCTCTTTAGGTAATGGAGCAGTTGGTGGGTAGATTGGATGTGGCAATGTTCAATGCTATTCTTCGTGAATCAGCCGAAGAGATGCCAACAGATCCTGTGTCTGATCCCATCAGTGATCCTAAAGTTCTCCCTATTCCAGCCGGGAAATCAAGCTTTGGGGCGGGTGCACAACTAAAAAATGCTGTGAGTCCTGATGATATTTATTAATTTGGTGTTTGTTGAAGTGATTAAGATTCATTATCTCTACTCAATGTGCAAAACTGGTGTCCATATCCTTATATTTTCAGGGATCGTCTTTTTTTCTCATTTCATTCACTTCTTTATGCCTATATTCATAAACTTTACAGCTGAACTCTCCCTGGTCCCTGCATGATGACAATAAGACAAAATAAATAAATAAAAAGGCCTTGAATTGTATCAAATATGTCGTGAACTGTCTGCTTTCTCTTGATTAAAGAATCCTGCTCTTCTTTTTTTTGTGTTGCTAGATAGGGAGCTGGTCCAGATGGCTTACAGATTTGTTTGGTATTGATGATAATGACCCTACTGAACATATGAACGAAATTTCTGATTGCAAGAGCATGGAGAGTGACACATCTTCCAAGGCTTTTTGTCTCCTCAATGCATTAAGTAATCTCATGATGCTTCCATTTGAAATGCTGGCAGATGGTTCCACAAGGAAAGAGGTGAGAAGCTGAAAACTTTAGATTTTCTTTCAAATATGACTTAATATATTGACAAAAACTCCAGTTTTGCTGCATTTGTCTGTTTGCTTCCTTCTTGTTTTATGATAAATCTAATTTTCCATTTGAATTTTATTGTTTGAAGGTATGCCCTACATTTGGTGTGGAAATGATCAAGAGGGTTCTTGACAGTTTTGTCCCAGATGATTTTAATCCAACACCAATTCCACAGGCAGTTTTTGATGCCCTGGATTCTGAGGTTGGTCCACTTCCAAGAAGCTCATAATTTTTTTTTTTTTTGCCACTTACAATTCTAATTTCTACACTTGCAAATTCAAGGTGTGGGAGGAATCTTCATGGGAGGACCCCCTTTGCTAATCATTCTGTAATTTTTATTTAGGACCTATGTGAGGCTGAGGATTCACTGACAATCTTCCCATGCTTAGCTGCTCCTACAATCTATTCACCACCTCCTGCAGCTTCACTGATCGGCATTATAGGAGAGGTTGGAAGTCAAGATTTGCAGAGGAGTGGGTCAACAGTGCTAAAAAAATCTTACACTAGTGATGATGAGCTTGATGATTTGGGTTCACCTGTAACTTCCATCGCTATTGACAACTCCCGCTCTTATTCGACTTCAGCAGCTCCCAACTGGATGCCGAAGGAACATGGGGGCCGAAAAGTTGTCAGATATCAACTCCTCCAAGAAGTGTGGAGGGATGGCAAATAATAATGTCAATTTTGTCACTCTTTTTCTCTCTATAGTGTTTATATGTTAGTAGAGTATTTAACTTATATAGGCAGCCTTATTAACATTTTTGACTTCTTGTTCATGTTGAGAGTTTCTCTTATCTTATTTCACCCTCACCGTGCTGTACATATTAGTTGCTGTTCTTTCCATGCTCCTTGTGCTTCATTTACTTGCCGTAGTGTTGATCTTTTTCCCATTTGGAATGTTTCTGCTGACCCCTGATGAAACTTGAAGTACGTTGCTGAAAGCATTCCGGGATTGCAGGTAGTCAGTTATGAAAAATCCAATGAAAGGATTATTTTTTCACCGACAATGACATACAAAATTTTATAAAAAAGTTTGCGAAATTCAATGTTTGTTTTGCAGCCTATTTTACAGAAATAATCCTGGATCACAGTTCATCTCCCTCAATGATGTTGAGGGGAGAACTATTACTGAATTCAATGACTTTTCGCCTTGGGATTCACATACACAGCCTAGTCAAGATTTGGTCAAAAGATCTAACTAGATGAATTTACTATAAAAAATACACTGAAATAGTACACATAATAAAGTATAATCTAAAAATTTAATTTTAAAAATTATATATACTAAATTTTCAATTCTATAATTTTCTTCGACGATTTTTCATATTCTGAAAGTATTGCATAATCTTATATCGTGACTTTCAAAGGACTGGTTTTTCTTGATTAATCCAACCAAATGAAAAAAAAAGTATGAGATAAGAGAAGAGGAAATGAGAAAGAGAGAATACGGGAAAAAAAAAAATCACGGGTGCGTTTGGCTTCCTATTTCTACCCATATTCCCAATCATATTATCCAAATATTGTTTGATACATTATTCTAGAAATATTACTATATTTTTAATTAATTTTTAGACCCCTTAAGTTTATTAATTTCATTAAATACCTCCAGAAAAAAAGTTTAAAAATTAACAAAAACACCCCCATCAACCCATACTTGCCAGATTCCGTCAACCACTGTCGGTGGTTGCTGAAATCTGTACAACGGCCTACACCACGACCAGAACTGGCCGGTAGTTCACCGATCTGGCCTTCAGCGACGGCCAAAGATAGACTTCTTTGGCCTTTTCCGGCCATCGACGACCATAACTGGCCTTAGATCTGGACTTTTCCAACCATATCCTGGTGGATCTGGCCAAAAAAGGCCATAACAACGCGTTATGACACAGATCCGACCGGTTTGTGTCGTAACACAATTTTCTGGCCAGATTCCGGCGGTGGGCCGAAATTTGGCATTACGGGTGGTGGGGGTGTTTTTGTCATTTTATATGTTGGGGTGTTTAATTAAATTAGCAAACCTAGAGGTTTTTTTTTATAAATCTTTAAATTTTACCTCGTAATACTCCCCTATTCAACTATCCAATATTATTCCCCAAATCCTATCCAAAATAATAAACCAAACTGTATTTTTGAATTTCAAGATTAATAAAATATGAAAATATCTTAATAAGATCAATAAAATATGGATAATTTTAGTAGTTAATTACTATAAAATATACACTAATTTTAATAATTTCATAAGTTCAGTGGAGTCAAGTGACCCACTGATGTATACTTTGATTACACGCCTGCACAAACACAACCTCAATTAAGACTTTCTCGTTTAAAAAGAGTCAAATAATAAAAAATAAAGTAATGTTGATCTTGATTTATCATAGGCAAATTAATCTAAACTTAGAACTCCCAAGAATCCGGCTTGTTTCAATAGTTGTGAACCATAAAATTATCTGTCAAACGAAGATGAAGATTTACAACAACATTTGTTAGATTCTAAAAGTGAAGGGGGGTTCAGGTATTCCATCATCTAATTCGGTTGGTCAAATTCCATATTTTATTACTGAGATAGTTTGTAAAGCCATGAATATAATCAACCACTTCAAATACCAAAGAGTAATCTTCACATATACAGGTCCTGAATCTGCGTATGACAACACTATGACTGCAAATCACAACTAATACTATCTCCTTTTTCAGCTGCACCATCTTTTCTTGCTCCTGCCACAAAAAACAAATTTGCAATGCCCCAAATAACAATTCAATAATCAACCAAAAAAAAAGTTGGTATTTAAATCTTGAGTTTCAGTATCTTACAGCTTGGATGGAGTTCCACCAACTGGATTGCGCAACACATCATAGTGTCCATATCCATGGTACTGGACACGTATTGGGTTCTCCTTGCCATATTCTTGACCATATTCAGCTATAATTTTGAGGGTACCAGAAGTTTTGTCGCGCATGTAAACTGTAATTGGCATCCTAAAAGTAGAAGATTATGAGACTATAAAAATGTAAAAGAGTAAAGAGATTCAAAATCTAATACTAATAGCTTCAAGATTAGAAACTTACTTGAGCACATGAGAAGACATTAGCAGCTCAGGCTCTCCTCCCCAAATGTGTGGCTGCCGCATCTGTACAACATATGTGTCAAAATCACCTTCCACAAACCTGCCAATGGATACAAAATTTACTTGCTTTTAAGAAAAATGGGTAGCCATAATTATGTATTCATTAACATTTGATCAATTTTGTAACATAATTATACACCTAAAATCCTAACCTAAAGAAGACCCATATGCCCAAACAAAAAATTGACATAAATGACACAAAAGAGTTGTCCCTTTTTTTAATGATAAACCTCCTTAATTGGCATTATTCCCTGTTAAAAAAGTGAACCTATTTTGTAGGCATGGCAATGGGGCGGGACGGGACGGGGATCTCATTCACCGTACCCATCCCTGTCCTCAAAATCATTCCCCATCCCATCCCCGTTATGGGGATGACAGGAATTCCCCTTCCCCACCCCAAAGGGAAATATCGGAAGCTCGTTCCCGCCCCGTTAATTTTATATGAACATAAATTGATTTGAGTATTACTAAACATAATAATTAATTCTTGTCCACATGACAAACACTTAAATTAATCGTTTGGACATAATTAATTATACATAGATATGAGTTAGGGTTTGTTCTTGTTCAATTGTTTAGGGTGAGGGAAATTGGGAAAATATGGGTTTATATAGATAGGATAATTGTGTAATTAGGTGAAATATAAAGATATTAGTGAAAAGTATATATATATATATATATATTTTTTTTTTTTAATTTTATATATTATATACGGGGCAAGGCAGGGCGGGGCGGGATGGGGGAAAGGCATCACCCACCCCCACCCCTATCTCCAAAAAAACCGGGGAAATCCTGGGGAACATTGCCATGCCTACTATTTTGGTTGGAGGAACGCTTGTTGTAGCCAAGGACGTAGCCAGGATTTTGAGTGAGTGGGTTCAAATTTAGAAATTTAATCTTCCAATTTCAGACTTATTTATTAAACTCAACAAAATCCTATAGTTTATGATCCTTCGTTAATTAAAAAATCTAAACAAAGAAGCCCTAAATCTTATAATTGAGCGCTTTTCAAACAATTTCTACTAACTCAATAAAATTCAACTCATAAACCTATGAAAACTCATCAAATTCAATTATGAATATCAAACAGTTAACCAATATATCAAAATTAAACCAAACCCCTAAATCTCTACAACTTAGGGTTTCATCAATTCTTTAAATGCATTCAAAATTAACTCAACAACTAACCAAAATTTATCAAACCCAACTTAAAACAACAATTAATTAACACATACCTCAACATAAACAAAATTAAATCAAAACTACATTAAAATCTAGGAATTTAATCTTTCAATTTCAAATTCATTTAATAAACTCAATAAAAACTCATAGCTGATGATCTTTCATCAATTAAGAAAGTTAAAATAAAAAAAAGTTAAGCAAAAAAAATAAATAAACATTTTTTAGTAATCCAACCAAAGGAAGAAGAAAGTATGAGAAAGAAAAAAAGGAAATAAAGAAAAAGAGAAATTGAAAAAAAGTTTTAATTAATACAAATTTGTATGAGGTTAATATGAATTGAAGTGGGGTAAAAAATATAAATTCTATAATATATAAAGGTTTTTTTTTTTTTTTTTTTTTTTAAATTGAGTGGGTTCAATTGAACCTACAAGTGTGAGTGTGGCTACGTGCCTGGCCGCAGCGGTGGAAAAAGGATGTCCTCGCAAGTGTGAAGAAGTTCTTTGAAATCAGATCAAAGAACTCATCGACGCGGCAAAAGAAAAGTTTGCCGCAGCATGCATGCAACCTGTGACCTGCATTGTGCCATCTATGGTGTGCGTTCTACAGTTGTGAAGAAGATTGGATCATTCAGGTTTTGGACAACAGTTGGGTTTAGTTAAGGAAGTTAAACTGTTAAACTGATATTTAGTTATGTTTAGTTATTTAATGTTATCTAAACTCAAAAGAAAAATGTTACGTTTACAATTCAATCTCACAACCTTCTTTTACAACCCTAACGTGGAAACAGATTGATATTGTCATACCAACTTCGACTACACCTACGACATCAAAGACACTACTAGAAACGAACGGTCGTTCCTTCATAAGGAACGGCTGTTTCTTATGAGCCTTATAAAGGAACAACTTTCTTAAAGAACAATCATTTCTTTTATTGTTCCTCCATAACCATTTCTCACGAATGAACGAATTCCTTCATAAGAAACGATCGATCCCTATGAAGGAATAATCGTTTTTTTGGTCTAGTCAAAATAATTTTGACGTGACAGTGTCACCTCAGTTACCACTTCGGGATTGTAAGAAAAGTTTATGAGAAAATGTTGTGGGCGTAGAAAGTACTATAGATGTATGTGTGAAAAATCCTATTGTATAAAGTGTTATCCCTTCGGTAAAAAGTCTTGTTCATCAGTTTCTTTGCGCTGCTCATAAACAGAAAATATAGCTTCCAATTCCAACATTCCCACATAACCTTTCAAGTAAATTTGGGATATGATAATTTTACCATTCAGTGTCTGCCCTTCTCTTAACGAATTCGTCTGCTACCTGTCCCAAAATTATGAAGGTTTTGTGTGAGATATGTGAAAACAGAATGGAATTTGATCATTTACAATGGAAAAACAAAGACGAGAAAGTGAGAACTAAACAAAAGAGAATTCAGCAAAAAAGGCAATTTTTTTTTGTAGGGCATTCAGAAATAATTAGAAAGCTGAAACGTGCAAAAAAGTAGCATCCATGAGGCTCATGACCAAAGAATAATATTAGAAAACATGGAGTCTACTGTGTACTTTATTTCTAAGCTCATCTGCAAGTTCCTTTTGAAGGCTGTCGCTCGGTGATTGCCTCCCTGCTCTTAACCAGGCGCCGTGAATTACTGACCGGAATAGGCACCTTCCATCTCCAGGTATACCTGAATTCAAACAAGCATAACAGGATGTCACAATACAGAAAGTTTAGCAAATTCAAAGACCCAGAAAACATATTCTACTTTCCCCCATAAAAACATTTCTCAAGAATTCATCAAAGTGCTTCATTTAGATCATAATTTAAAGAACGATGAACGAACCTTCGCCATCGTCCATATTATCTACCAGGGGTTTACAGAAGCTAAGAGAAGAATAAAACCCCACCAATACAAATAAAATGGAAATCACGACTTTGATGAAAACTACAAGAAGCATAAAAGAAAGCTGCAAATGCAAGCAAAGAATAAAGTTGAAAGCAAATTCAAGGAGAAAAGCATATGAAGCCTTAACACAAGCAAAGAAAAAACAAAAACAAAAAAAATCCATTTCTTTACTTAAGAGAAGACATGATCGTTTTCATTTCAAGTAAACAATTTTAATTATTCCATAACCATGAGTAGAAACTTAAACAAATTACAAGTTAAAAATTTCATCAAACCCATACGAATTTTTTGAAACTGAGACTGGTTGTTACCAATCATAGATCCTGAATTTTGCAGCTTCATGTTGCAAAAAAATTGAGAAATTCTATTCCATTGGTGAGTCCTGATTGATTACCAAATTGAAGCTCATTAAGTGGATGTGATTAGTGAACAAAATTGCATGCTAAAAGCTTTTTGGAGTTTCTGGTGTGAAAGCGAGCATCAGAGAATAGAATTTGATGCCCTTTTCATCAGCAAACTGATCTTGTCCATTTGTTGCCAGAAATTGAATGGAATCCTAACTTCAACTTAACCCTCTATATTGCACAAGAGTAAACGACCTTCTTCCCTCCCAAGGTTTGCCTTAATGACACTTTCCCACATAAAAAATTTTAAAATACCACTTTCTCACCCAAAGTTTATATTCTGATCAATCACTGGCCGATTTCGGTATCTTTGCAACCCACGCCACTACTACTATCTTCCCTGATCATCACTCACCAAAACCCCTCAAACCTTGTTCCCGCCAACCCTACCAATTGTTGGCAATTGAGCGATTTGTGTAATGCCCAACTCAATAACGGACCCAGGATTTTTGTCGAGGGGGAGCTTTGCGGCTCGGCCATTATTTGTCAAAGAACTAGTAAAAACTTTAAAAAATCATCAAACCTTAAGCAAATAAAATAATACAATATCAAAACCTGAAAGAAAATAATACAATACTTTCCTACTTAAATAAATCTATGAGAAGTAAAATTTTGAGTAAATGTGTTGAGTAAACCTTGAGCAAAACCTTCTTTTAATTTTTTTTTTTTTTTTGGCTTTCAAAGATTATAATATAAATTTTCATGACTTTAATCAGACATAACCTAAGTTAAAGTCAACAAAAACTTAAATCAAGTCAACATTGCATTGACTTTTAATATGAATTAATAAAAATGAAGGAATTTTCTTGCTACAAATTAACATAGATAGTAACAAATTTTTTTTTAATAATTTTGAGCAGCTGAACGGTGACATTTGAAATATAGAAAAGTGGTTGGTGAAAGGTGAAGAATAATGTCCTTTAAAATATAGTTAAAGTTTTAATTTGGGAAAGCATGAACACTCTTAGACATAAAACACAAAATAAACTCACAAGATCCATGTCTTTTTCCTTCAAATTAGAATAAAAAACCTCCAAAAAACAAGCATGATTCAACCCTAAAATAAACTAAATTGAAATGAGCAATACACATACGTAAAACTAATAAAATAGAGAACAAAGCTAATTGTGACACCTTGAGTAGAGAAAACTTTAATAATTTCAATCTTCAAAAGTTTTAAGAGCAGATAGCATAAAAAATTTTGGGATAAAATCATAAGAAGCAGATGGAGCCGTGGAGAAGAAAAGTGGAAAGAATTTTAAACTCTTAACATAATGTGGGCTTGGAATATATATATTAATAAGAAGTATTTTTGTGGGCTTGGATATATGTATAATAATTCTCATTTAAAAAAAAAAAAATCTGAGAATAAGTCTAAGTATATATATTAATAACACTTTTTTGTAGGCCTATATATTAATAATTTTTTTTTCAAATATGAGGATAATCCTACCCTTAAAGGGGCTAGATCTGCCCCTAGCGCAATTGTCCATCTCAAGTCAAATTCCGATCAATCCTAACTGTCAAAATCAAACATGTCACCACCAAAAGAATCATCACATCCCTTCTTCAAGAACCTCAATAGCTTGGGTTGAGTTTTCTCTATGTTGGCCGCCGAATCGAAAAGTGTATTTTGGATGGTAAAAAATTATGGCAAACTTTGGGTGGGAAAATGTAGTTTGCGCTATTTTGCACTTTTGCTGACCAAAATAAAAATGGTGGTTTTACGTGTGTCGGATTCTTATTGGACCAACAGTGAACTTTATATTCCCGCTAAAATTTGTAACAGCCGTTCATTTTTCCACTATTAGCACGGGACAATAAACACCTGCAGGCAAAAGTTGCAGACTTATTTTGTATTATCAGTTTAATTAGTGGTAGCTATTTGCACCTAAAATTGAAATTTTAGATTTCTCTTTATAAAAAGAAAATCCATCAGGTTTTGCAGGGCAAGCAAAATTTTCTTTTCTTTTCAATGGTATGAGTTTCTTCTCGAATTTGAAAAATGTTGTAGAATTTGCAGTATATAATGAATTTTGATTGACAAACTTGACTTGAATTTCTCAGGAATCAGGAGTAACCAGCAGGATGAATTCTAGGAGCCGTCCGTTGCATACCTGTGGAGTTGTAATCTCATTAATTGTTCAGAGAGTCTATGCAAGATCACAAGGTTTGAACGGACCATTAGGTTCAATAATTAGAACACTATTAAGATTAGCCCAAATGGCTAATCCATTTATGCATGCCCTGGAATATAAATGGTTAGCCATCCTGTACTTTTCTGATTATTTGATTCTAGCTTTTGAGAGCATATTTGAGACTCTTTTCCCACCATCAAAACATGTTTTCAACAAGATTGACGAGCTCGTACAAACTGCAGAAACACTGCCAGGGAAATTTGATGAAGCTATAAACAAATTTCCTGGCCACGTTCCGGTGCTAGATTGGGTTCTGATTCAGATCATCTCATGGCTGAATTTTGGGATTTCTACGTTGAAGCATTGGGGGTTTGAAAATGCAAAGGAAAAGGAGATTGTGATGGATGTTTCTAACAGCAATGAATTGTCTTCAGCTCAGAAACATCAATCACAAGAAGCTGAAAATGACACAGTTTTTATGACAAATATTAAGAAACATGACATGAAGGGTACATACAAGGAAGCTCTAGAGAAGGGAAGAAAAGAAAATGGCATCGAAAAGAATAAGAAAGAGAAGGAAAACAAAGATGGTGGCACAATGAAAGAGACTGATCAGAAACATGCGATTGGTGACAAAGAAATTGGATATGCAGAAGTTAGTAGAAGCGAGGAAAACATAACCGCAAATGATCCTATATTAGAACTGTTCGAGTCAGGATGGCTTACGAATGCAGCAAGAGATGATAAAGGAAATTGGTTGTCACGCTCTGTTTCATACACGGGCTGAGATGAAAAGATGGAACTGATTGATGAAAGAACAGCTGTTGCTTCAAAATTTTGAACGTTCAACGGCAATTTGGTAGATATTTATAGCGCAATTTTTACCCTGAAACGCATTAGGGTAGTCATTGTCTGTTATATTGTGCAGTAAGTTTAAATGCAATATATGGTTAAGAACTTACACATAGAGTTAAAGAGAATCCAATACGGGTTTTGATTTATATATATATATATATATATGGGATATACAATATTGAGAGATGCGAAATCCAAGTCATGAAAGATTGAAAGCAGACGATAATATGACCAAGTAATCAAACATAAGAACCACAGATCAAAAACTGAAAATTTGAAAGATGAATTTAGTTGCTGTGTAAATTAACTAAAATTTTAGACACATCATCTTCATAAATCCAATAGGCCTTTGTTGCCGGTCTTTTTTTTTTTTTTTTTTTCTAGGACAAAAATTAGTTGTAGTAATAAGATTCCAAGTCAACTGCCTTCAAGTGATCGAGTGGTTCGATATAAACTTTTGGATGTGTTAATATGTGAAACTGTTAAGACTGTGTTGTATTGTGCTTTATTAATGCGTTTCCGTTTCAAGCTATTTAAGTTCAGTCTTGGCCCTTGATCTTTGTAAAATCCAACAGCTAAAATCTTCTCTGGTGGTCAACATATAAAACCAGAAAGTTTGCACAGTGGTATGTTGGGAAAATTCGCGATCAAATGCTCTTTGTTGTGGTTCTTAATCTCAATATGTTCTCTTGTGTAAATTGGGTTGTAATCCATCCAAAAGTTATATTTCTTTTGTGAGTAGAGAATCAGGAACATGCTTCTCTAGAGGATTGTAGATTTACAGTAACAATAGTAGAAAGGTTGAGGTTCTTAGAGTGAGTGTTTGAGCCAGAGTTTGAATGTGTTCTTGAGGTATGTACTCAGTGATTCTGTGATAATAATAGTGCAGCGAGCCTCCATATTCTGGAGCTCAATGTGGACGTAGCTTGTTCAATCTTGAACAAGTGAACTATGGTAAAAGATCGTGTGTTGTTCTGTCCTGTTTTTTATCTTTGTTTGGTTGGTTAGAATCTTGATTTTTGGTTAGGTAGACTCAATTTTATAACAGCGGTATTAGAGCTGAGTTTAGGGTCTCTTGAATTTTACATTCTAGGGTTTTCTTGATTTGGGAAATTTTCTAGGGTTTGATAGTTCCTAGAGTCCTAGGGTTCCAAACACAACAAGAATTCGCAAAATCTCAGTGAGTCGAGTCCATCATCATAATCTTGATTCTTTAGGGTTTGCTTCTGAACCCAATCCATGAGCATCACGCGCATGGAAATCTCCCAATATGATGGGAAGATTGATTTCAACACTTAGAAAAAAAAAAAAAGATGGAGGCACTCTTATCCCGCAATAAGGTGGAATTGCACTGGAAAAGGACACCACCAAATAGCCTGAAGAAAAGCTGAAAAAGAAGTCAGAAGTAGATGAAGAAACGTATAATCTAATTATCATGAACCTGTTCGACACTATACTGTGGAAGGTGGATGGCCTGGAATCTCCAATCGCTCTCTAGGGTAAACTCAAATCTTTATATGCTCTTCAGTCAGCACCTAATTTAGCTTTTTTTAAAGGTGCATTATTCTCATATAAAATGGACATAGCTAAATCTTTAAATGAAAATTTGGATGAATTTCTAAATATGACCCTAACTCTAAAAGGTACTGACCAAGAACTAGGAGACTCTAGTCTTGTTATGATTCTGTTAAACTCCCTGCCAGAAGAGTATCTAGTTGTAAAGAATGTCTGACAGTATAGTGACACAGTCCTAGTGTGGATTTGATAGTTTCCAAGTTAAAATCTAGGGAACTAGAATTGAAAATTCAAAAAAGAAATGGTAGTAATCTGTTTGTAAAAGGCAGGTTTGATACTGGACAGTTTGGTAAAGAAACTGAAAAGAACTCTCAGAGTAACTTAGGCTCTAAAACCAAAAAGAAAGGTAAGGGGAATGGGAAACCTAAGGGAGAATCTAAAAATTGTTTCTTTTGTAATAAATCAGGGCATCTTAAGAAAAACTGTTACGAATGGATTAAAAAAAAACTGAAACCAACCTAGCTAGCACAAGCAGTAACATTGAGATCTCTGAAGCACTTACTATTTTTAATGTTGCTAGGGTTTATGAGT